AATCTTCGGAAGAAAAAAAAAAACATAGACAGGTGCAGATTTTGTCTTCTCTTGATTTGCTGATGGGGTGAACATGGGTATTGAAAAGATGAACAGCAGTTTTAGATGGACAGATGCTCTATAATGAGCACCTGGTAGCATAAAGGAACATGTACGTAAGATTTGTCACTTCCATGCGCAATACAAGCTGACAGATTAAGATTATTATCTGCAGGAAAATCAACATGTCTCCAGCTTCTTCTTCATGAAGTCACTATATTGGAACCCTTATCAATCACCAAACTCTCTTTTAGTCTCAACGATCCAACTTCTCGCTAGCTTCACAATACCTAACATTACACAAAAGTGCACCTCAGAAATTACTAACACTCTTTCATACACTACACAATGCGCAGTATAACCTTCATAGTAACAACTATTGTTGAAACTTGAAGTCAAGTAGTTTATTCTTCACAAAAAAATTATAGACATGTTCTGTGTGTAAGACTCTAATATAAAGAACAAAATGAGAGAGAAAAAACCATAAATACAATCATATGAAATACTAACAAGACAATGTTTTCTTGCAGAAAGTGTAGTATATGGAAAGTACTTGTGATGTATTGTTAATGATAGTCTAGTTACTGTGGCTTTGATGACATACTCCACATAAACTCCATAATGTACAATGACGAGTTACATATGCATAAATTATTTGCATGCTAAAGTTTGAATGCATTACAATCGGCAAGTATAATATATTTAAATGAAAGCTTAATTAAGTTTTGAATTCAAAAATACAAAAATTTAATAAAGACTTCATTGAAAGTTTTCAACTGTATCAAAGACTTACAATTGCACTTTTAAAATACACAAAAGCAGAACGTAATTTATTATATATATAACTTGGAAACTCATTATTCATAAATTTAAGAGTTTACTTAAAAAAATATATATTTAAAAAACTATTAATGACATGTATATATAACAACTCCGTAATAAAGCATAGGAAACCACATTTGTGATATTGCATTAATTCTAAATAAGATCAAACTTCATGAATAATTAAATCATACATAAAATTCACAAATGAAGATATAAATTTCGAAGTGAAAATATTTCTAAATGAAGTTAATTTTTCAAATTATCATGAGTCCTAATCAAATAGTTACCTTGTAAGGTTAATGGAACAAAAATTACATATTCGTAATCCAAGAATATATACAAGTTTACTCGAAATTATTTGAATGAGCTCAGCGAGAAGTTAGCTTCTTTTTTTCTATAATTGTAAGCTTATAATGGTTATTCAGGGTCTCCGGCTCAAGAATAGATCCCCTGAAAATTTTGCTATTTGTTTTCTTCTTGATTACATAATTGTCCACTTAATTAATTTCTTTTAAACCCACTTTTGTGATCCATCAACGTAACTTAGCTTAAATAGCAGCAGCAATAAATTTGCAAGCTCCGTTTCAGTATAACCTCAACATCCAATAATTTCTAAGAGAATCTTTAATAATGCAAATGTCTTCGTGGTTGTCTTATTCTGATACAATATTTTATTTTATTTTTCTTCTCATTAAATAAAATATGTATTTTATAGAGAATACAGTCGCGTATTTTACCGTTATAGAGAGAAGAGGAGATCAGGGTAGAAGAGAGAAGAAAAACAAATCAGTGGCAAGAAAAATCATAACCAGTAAACTTGAAAATTTAAAGCCAACAAACCATCGAAAAAGCTTAAAAGATGTTCTCCTTCTACAACCAATCAGTGCCAACAGATGCAATGCGCAACAACAGTCTTCTTGGAATCGCAAGAAGCTCTTTAAGAAGCACGATCTGATGGGCTTGTACAAGTTCGCGATCCAGGCCCACCGAGTGGTTGGAGGCATCGTCTTCCGCCGTATGCTCCTTGCCTGAGCTCCGATTGCGTCCACCCCAACGCTACCATTCTTCTCCCACGTTCTGATCATGCAGGGCTATGGTGTGTACGGTTACATGGGCTGGGGAAGAAATTGGAAGAAAAAGACTTATGGTATAAGTTTAACTAACTACAAAAATTATATGAATTGCTCATTGTTTACCCTCCAAACAATTTTATACAATAATTGCTTATTTATAATGTAACATCAGTCACTTAATAAAGCTCTAAAATTTATGGCATTAGATATACTGCAACATATGTCCTATCCTATCATGAGTCATTGAACATTTAAAGGCCATTCTATATTCTTTTGTGCCCAGTTTGGATTTTAGAGTTTTTTTCTTTTCAGTAAATCATTTTAGTTCTAAAAGTGTATAACAATCATAATAGTCCTAAAACTGAAAAAAACACTAAAAAGATTATCTAAAGTATAACTGATCAACCATACTACTTTAAAAATTAAAATGTGACTGAAATTATAAGTGACCAACATGACAATAAATAGTAAACGTAGAAACTTATTTAAAATCTCCTTAGCTTCAAAAATCAAGGTGTGAACAAGACACATTTAGGAATTAAAATGGTTCACTCGTCTGTTATCTGTTTTGGTTGTTTAAATTAGCGGTTTTTACTATTTGAATCACAAACATCGAAGACCAGCAGCAGAAGCATAAGGTTTGGTGCTTTGCTCTGCTTCTTGTGTGGTTGGCATCGATGCTTGCTACAAGTTATCCGAGTAATGCTATCTCTCCGTATGCAGTTGAATTAAATGAAACACCGTATTACATAGTTTTTTTATGTTATTGACTTTCATAAGCACAAACAACAAATATCCTAGCGGTTCTACATCTAAATGCACAACACCAATGTTGCACCTCCAATGTTGATCTATATAAATAACAGTTAACTTCCATAAACAGGGTAACGAAAAGATGATAAAACGACAAAGCATTAGATCATGTCAATATAATTTCACCTGCAGTAGAAACCCAAAATGAGAGATAAACCTTTGGGTCAAAACTCAATTGTAGTAGCGTGAACCAGTGTCGTAGACACGACCACCAGGATATGGACCCCTAGGTTCAAATCCTTGATCTCTACCACCTCCAAGAAATCGAGCTCTCTCCCTGTTAGGATCAAAATGATCGGCAGAATAACCTCGTTGCACTTCTCCACCTACACCTGGAGCATTCGCATTGTTGAAACCATGAGGGTCTCGGGGTGCCAAGCCACTGCTTGGGTAAGGATCCCTTATGAGTTGCTGGTACTGTTGTTGCCTAGCATGTGCTTCCCTTTGAAGAAATTCAGCTCTTCGGTTGCTATGCTGAGCTCGAAGTGCTGCCAGTTTTTCTTCATACTGAGCATTGATTGCATTAATTTTCTGAAAAGAAATATGTAGAACTTAGTTAAAGCTCAATGGAATTGAAAAATATACAGAATTCAACACGAATAAGATTATCCTTGCAACACCCAGTGTGCTGCAAATATCCAGCTTCAAGACAGTTATATAGATCATTTAAAATACAAGGAAATATGCAGGTGACAACTTACCCAGTGCTCACAGTTAGCTATAAGAAGAACCCAACTCAACAATAAAAAATAAGAATACTCATGCAAAGATGATTTTGCACATCAATTTAATATTCAGGAAGTATTATAAAAATTATAAAATGGGTCACAGTACTAAGATCAGACAACACACTGGGCTAGTTCATATAGTTTAAACGATGCAAAAAAGTACACGCAACTGCTGTATTCAAAGTTTTACAATATCACTTCAAGTTTATCAACCTAGATGCAAAAAGAGCAGTATATAACTGCAGTTTCACATTTGCATAATGACTTTAAGTTTATCAAATGGAAAAGGCCTAGGTATACAAGTTACAACAAAACTATCCATTAGAAACAATTTTTTCCTTCCAAAAATTATTCCATAAATGGAGATAGTAACCCGTTGATAAGCTTGCATTGACATAGTTGGATCCCTGCAAATCGTAATTCTAAGAAGATCTGTATCTGATACCTTGGTGTGTTTCTAACTCTACGTAACAGCTATAAAAAGTTTTATAGCTTCAACAGTATCTTTAACATCTTCAAAAAAAGGCAAACTGTATAACATCTATTAGGAAAAAGAAAGAAACAAGACAAAAGAAGTTGCAAAAAGAGTAGAGGACATAGGGTATTTCAAGAACACCGTAACAAATTAATAATGTTTATTTTTATGTTTATCTCAAACNGCCTAGGTATACAAGTTACAACAAAACTATCCATTAGAAACAATTTTTTCCTTCCAAAAATTATTCCATAAATGGAGATAGTAACCCGTTGATAAGCTTGCATTGACATAGTTGGATCCCTGCAAATCGTAATTCTAAGAAGATCTGTATCTGATACCTTGGTGTGTTTCTAACTCTACGTAACAGCTATAAAAAGTTTTATAGCTTCAACAGTATCTTTAACATCTTCAAAAAAAGGCAAACTGTATAACATCTATTAGGAAAAAGAAAGAAACAAGACAAAAGAAGTTGCAAAAAGAGTAGAGGACATAGGGTATTTCAAGAACACTGTAACAAATTAATAATGTTTATTTTTATGTTTATCTCAAACCTCTCTGTGTCTGGCATATTCTGCATCTTCAGCGTCATTCTGTTCTTTAGTGAGTTTAATAATGTCATCACGAAAATTCTGCTCAAGACCTTCAAAAGTTTGTGATAAATGATTTCCTTCGTATCCAACATCCATATTTTCTTCATGGGCCTGAGATCTGGAATCATTGTTGTTCCGGCCCTGCCCTTGAAAATAGGACTTTGAAGCATCAACCCCTTGACCTACACTAGAACATGAAACGGTTCCCCTCTGTTTAGGAGTTTGAAAACTCTTTCCGTAATATAAACATGTGTAACCAGGCCTTCTAGACACGGAAGCTAATGTTTTGAAAATTCAAAACTAAAATAGGTTCTGAAAATGTGCCATGTTTACTGAATTACAACTCCATAAAAGCAGACATCAAAAGTAAAATAAATTCATCTCCTATACATCAAGTACTACTTTTAAGTCTGTTCATTGAAAAAGAAGCAAAATTTGCAGAAAGGATGCCAGGAACAAGAATAACTATATGCATTTAATAGTAAATTGGAAAGGATGACATTTAAAAGGATTATGCTGCCCAATTGAGTCACGTGAATTGTTAATCTGTTTTCTGAAGGATTATGCTGCCCAATTGAGTCACGCTAATACCTCACTTCTAATTTAGAAACAAAAATCTCCATATTGAAATACAGAAGAAAGGTTAACAATCATAATACTTTAGATAACTATGACTACACCATATAACGTCTCTTCCTCTTCTTTTCCTAGTCTTCTTTATAATCTCATTATCTTTGTTTCCTCGTCTTCTCTTTACTTTCTCTCCAATTCAGCATTTTCACTTTCTCGATATTTTTTTACAAAATTCAGTACACAAGTGCAGCATGAGTTATTCTTCTGTCTTATGCCATTTATCAGGTGATTTAGTTCTGGCAACAGCGTAAAAAACAGAAGATATATCATACATACACACTCTTCTCCTTTAAGTCTACATCATAGATCCTACTTTTTATTTAGTGAAAAACCAACGGTTCAAGACTCGACATTTATGTCAATTTCATGAAAAAAATGGCAAGAAATCAAAATATACATTATACTAAATAATCATAAAAACTTGTAAAAACAATACTTAGTTACAACTTCAAGATTTATGGGCCCCTCACGTGACATACTTCAAAAACATAATTGTTTTCACAAAGCCAGATGCAGCACATAGCTAGGTTAACAGAAGGATAAACAAGTGTGAAGTGGCAGCGAAAAATACTTGCCTTCACTAAACATCCGAGATGCCATTGAATTGGACATCTTCGATTCGTCCATTTCCCATTCCACATGACCCTCTGGGTGGAATTCGCATACGGATTCTTCCTTTTCTGGAGTAAAGGCTTCGAGCCGTCCTTCAAAATTGCCAGACTTGGCCTCCCCCCTTGGACCGGCCACCATATGATGCATCTGGCTACCAACACTAGTGTTGGCCGATGGATCCCCATAGTGCCCCTGCCGTCGCATTGTCACAAACAACTCCTATGTGAACACAACCTCTGAGACATCAAAACCACAAAACCCAAACCAATCACTAAACCACATAACCCACACTGCAATCATACAGCAACACGCATTTACCGATTACTTGCTCTCACACGAAACATTCCATAAACAAATTGAAACAGATATTTCAAAATAATTACCAACTCTGGGAACTGAATCCCAAATAGAACCATCAAGACATATCAGTCTGTATAATAAACATAAGTCATTGAATCCTAGGGTTGAATAAAGAAATCAAACTAAAAAGTTTAAGTAAATCAATCATAGAAGACGAGCAAGTGTATAGAACGTGCAAAATAACGGGAAAATAAAAGGATAAAATATGTCAACAGAGCTCTATAACATACCGAATCAATTAGCACTTGTGATATCGAGCTAGCGAAACAGAACGAGAGTGGAAATGCAATGATATGTTCAACAATTAGCGATCCAAAGGAAATACATTGCAGGTGACGAGGATGATGAAGTGAGAGTGAAATGAAAATCTGAAAACCCTAATTCAAGAAGGAGGAAGAACCCGTAATCTACCAGCATTGCTCACAGTTTGCAAAATACACATGGAAAAAATAAAGACAAAGATTTTAGCAACAATAAAAGAAAAATATATAAGAATTAAATAACATTTTCGTAAATTTGCGAATTTTGAATAGGTTCTCAATATTTTTTTTCTTCAGTTTTGGTATTAAAATTTTTTATTTGTTTTTTATTCTTATTATTCAGTAACAAGTGCTGTACTTTTTGTTTCGCATGAATCTATATATTTTTTCTTTTAGTCTTCAATCATTTTTTTCTCACTTTTTTTTCTGTTGTAAATTTTCTTTCGTTCGTGTTTATGTATTTTATTAGCATATGTGTAAACAATTAAGTAAAAACCAATATATATATATATATATATATATATATATAAATAAGGGTTTAATTTCTTTTTTCAGCTAGTATATTTTAGCTGTATATCAGGTTTTAGTAGATAAAAATGTTCTCATATATTATGGATTTTTTGATCAAGAGTATTTGAATAATTTTCATTCTCAAAACTAAAAAAAACAAAAAACCTCTAAACTCTTACTCACCTCCCTCATTCTTCTCAATCTTTTCTCTTTGATCTTTCTCACTCCAACATTTTCTCTGTCATCCCTACTGTAATCCCAACTGAAAAAAATTCATAAACACTCGTCTAACCCTAATTCACTTTCATCACTTATCCAATTTGTTTCTCTCTCGTCTACATACTCTCTTACCCACACAATTTCAATTGAAGTGAAATCTTTCGGATAAATCAATGCAATTAGGAGGATTCAATGAAAAGACATCAATTCAAATCCTGAGTTTTCGAATTGAGAGAAATCAAGAATTCTCACTATTTCTTACATTCATGAATAGGTTGGGGTAAAAATATCATAAAAAATACTTTAGATAAAACTAAAATATTGGCAATTTGAAACGAAATATGGTTCCAGATCCATGTATTCTTTTTGTAGTATTTTTTTGTACTAGATTCAATTAAATTAGAACAAATCATTTTTTGAATTCTTCTTTTTTATTCTTAGTTTTTTATCTTTTGTCTAGATTCGAATCCGAAAAAATTATAAGTTAATTAAACAGCAACCCGTGACACCTTTCTGATTTTTCCAGTTGGAGACATTAGGGATGACAGAGAAAATGTTGGAGTGGAGAGGGATGAGAAGAGAAATGATTGAAGGAATGAGGAGGTGAGTAAGGGTTTGGGGTTTTTACCTTTTTTTTAGAATGAAATTATTCAAATACCATTTACCTTAAAACTTAGAATCCATAATATATGAGAACATTTTTGTCTACTAAAATCCGGTACACATTGACTTGTCAAGTTAGCAAACTCATATATCTAATATATATATATATATATATATATATATATATATATATATATTATAATATATATATATTATTATATATATTCTTAATTTCTTTTTACCTTAAGAAATGTGAATCGTGCATGTTTTTTTAAAGTTCTTTTTGCTGGAACAAAAATTAATCAACTTGACCCAAATGATGTTCATAAGGGTTTTAATATTTTTTTTATTTGCAATATTTTCAATTGAAGGTAAAAACTAAACAAAAAACTCTTAGGCTATATAATATTGTGTCATTATTTAAATATAATATTGCTTAATAATTTGCTTTCTAGATTACTTAATAATTAAATAAACTAAATGTTAAAAAATATATAACATTATATTGATGTGAACAGTTAAAGTCGTGTTTTCTAAATAAAATTTCATGTTAGTTGCTTAAACCAACACTTGATATAATCAAAGGAAAGAAAAATGTTAATAATAAACATATAAAAAAATAATAATCTATGAACAATGGTCTAATATAAACAAGAGAGATAATTTTTTTAAATAAAAATAGTAGTAAATTTTTAAAATTTAAGACAATAAAGAATACAAATGAGATTTCTAGAGAGATATACTATTCCAACACTGGATTAAATGAAAAACAGGTAAAAAAAAGTGAAGATATTATTTCAATAATACAGTTTTATTACTGCTGTATTATATATGGCTACAAGAAAAAAAAATGTATTTTATACAACTATTTATTGAATAATTTAGTATTAATTAAGATAATTTAGTATTTTTTTTCTATCCAACCAAAACACAGTGTAAGAGATCACATCTTATTAGGCAATTTATAAAATTGAATTAAATCTAAACAGAAATAAATTTCAATCATGAACCTTATATAGCATCACAAGTCCAAAGTCATGCAGTGACTTTGACATCACTGAATTTTAGCCTTACATGATTCTGACTGGTGAAAGGTGATATACGGTACACATTACAATGAAAACACTTGACAATGAAGCAAAGAAGTTCGCCAGATCAATCATACAAAGGACACTTCATATATCAGACACCAAAGATCCAAGAACGATCTTAAAATTAAACTTAATGCAAGTTAACAACTCGTCCCGATCATTCTTCAGTGTCATCTTCAGAGAGTAAGGTCCTGCAAAACGAACAGTGAGGGAAATGAGCTCCGTAATGTGAGGTTTAACCAAAACAAAATTTTGCTGTCGAAGACAGATGACTAAACCAAGAAGCAGAGAATTCAGAAAATTTGTACCAGGTGTATTCTGTGCCTTGACCCACAACAATAACATCAGTACAGTACGTACAAAATAGGTGTGATTATCTCACCTTATCAGTTGTCTATTACCCTGAGTGCTCAGATCAAGCATCAAACGAAACAAAATTGTCTTTTTGTGGGAGATGGGTACTTCACAGTTCACATTCAGCTGTGTTTTTTTCTTGTTACAATACGATGGTTTATTTTAGAGGATGTATTCATTAGGAATAGATTATATATATATGTGAAATGTAAGGAATTGACATACTTCTAATGTAGGATTTAAATTTATACTTAATTATTCTCAATACATGATTACTGTAGATATATTCATATCTTTATTTTTTATTTAGTTTGTTATTATTTCTCGGACAAATGTGCACTTGAACAACATTTTTGACAACATTTAGACACGGCAGCCACGTGTCTAACATTTGCGTGGTCCATTTCATTTAATTTTCCAACTGGACCACTCAAATTTAGACACGTGTGTGCTGTGTCTAAATGTTGTCAAAAATGGTGTCAAGTATCATTTCCTTATTTCTCATTTGTATTTTGGGCTTAGCCCATATTTCTTCTATTATAAATAGAGAACCCTATGTGTGTATTTAACAAGGGAGATTAATCCAAATATAGTTTTTCACGATATTCAAATGGTATCAGAGCATGCTTCTGATCTTCTTCCGGCGTCTGTTGTCTGCGGCGGCGGCCATCCATGGTGCCGGCAGCCCCTAAAATTTCAGTGGGCAGCCCTTTCTTTTCTCTTAAATATGTGCCACAGTCAGTATCCGTGCAGCCAGTCGCCTTGTCGTCGACCATCGCCAGCCACTGTCCGCTTCCAACCTCTGTCCGCAGCCGGCCACCATTCGCCGCCTCTTGTTGTCGCCGTCGCCCACGCGGCCACCGTCACAGTTTCGAGGGTGACCTGCGGATCGGACCGTCTCTTCGAGCGACGGCAACCACGCCGGTTTCGAGAGCCACTTCTCAGTCACGCGCCGCCACGCAGCGACTTCTTTCCGGCACAGTCCGCGTCGCCGCCGCCCCGAAACGTCGTATGCTACGGCGAAGTCAAGGGTTAGGTGGCCTTGAGAAGCGCAACCCAATCCTAGTGGTCCCGTTCTCCGAAGCCTCCGCACCAGCTGTCACAGCGCCGTTCTTCTCGGCCAGTCTCGGTCGCGTGTTCTGCACGCACCCCTTCATAGCTCTCGCCGGACATCCCCTCTCTGTTCGTTGACTTCCAGAGCAGCCATGTGCTGCCATCTCGGTTGTTCGTATCGCGTTGATTGTCCGGTTGGTTGCCGTTGGCCACTGTCGGCACGTTTTCCGTGTACAGCATGTATGCTTCCAACCACTGTGTAGGCCCCCATCACCTCGTCAGTTGTGATGGCAGTCCCTGTAGTTTGTGCGGGGGTGGGGGGATTCTAAGATCAGTCACTGATGGCAATGTAGTAAAGAGTACAATACCCCCCACCACGTAACCACACAAGCCAAGTCACCCCCCCCCCCCCCCCCCCCCCAACCTAGCACACAGTACTATTCACACTAACCACACACAACAACACCCATTCCCCCCCCCCCTCCCCACCCCCCCTCCTCAATACAGTTTATAGCTACAACCGCCGCTGCCAAGCGCGTACCGGGTCTCAAACAGACGCAATGCGTCAGTTCTTCTTGGGCTAGAGTTTAGTACGATTTTCTTTGTGATACACTGCTAAGTATCACCACTTGGGAGTTGTCCAGCAAAGAATTTTGGACCTCCAACAGTCTTTGGATATTTGATGCTTGTTTTCAGAGCATGGTAGGCTTATATTTTGTTTTGTTTTAGTGGCATTTCCACCTTCACACTAAGGGGGAGTACGTTTCCAAGACACTGCAAGTCACATAAATATGGGTGTAGTCCCTGCAGTTTTGTAGATTTCAGCCATATTTCTTCTATTATAAATAGAGAACCCTATGTGTGTATTTTACACAAGGGAGATTAATCCAAATATAGTTTTTCACTATATTCAACAATTACAAAGGTGTAATATTTTCCTTTTATCTTGTGGTTTGACCTTGTACAGGATGACCGCCCGGTCAGCCACATATCGAGTGGTCAATACTCCTTCATCCATTGTGAAACATTCAGTCCGCCACGGATTTTATTTTGGTATCACTCCAAAAGACTTCTTACCAATGGAAGTATCTTATGTGTATATAAACTTTTTTCCATCTCTTATTTTATCCGATATGAGACTTTGTTTGTACCCAACATTAGACATAGTGACACACCATGTGGAATGCACACTTCATCCCAAAGTCCCTGACAGGAAACATTGAAAGAGATCACAACAATTGACATTTAGGAAAAGTAAACATCCCAGCACCCGCTCTAACTTTACCATTTTCATCTACCACTTCCTTCTATCTACCTTTAGCAGGAAACTCCCTCCCTTCTAATATTCTATTACATCTATCC